AGTTCTACCGTAATCAACATTGAATACAATAGTGGGTCAAAGCATTGATAGAGACAAAGAAGATCTATAGCAACCCTTTTCTCAAGCTAGATCACATATATTTTGCTGTACTGTTACGGTGGAAATTTTCCTCTCTCCGCCTAAATAATCAATGTCACTTTTTTTTCGACTCGTAACGTTAATCGCCATGCGGCTCCTGTACAATTGTATATAGTTTTAATGGTCGTAATTGCAGACGACGCATCTACATCTGGAACGTCAGATGAAGAAACTGAAGCGGCGTCTGAGCGCTGCGTTCCGTGGCGGTGGATCGCAACAGAACGTTGAGCTTTGTGGAGCGAATGGTTTGACGAATGGAGTGCACCACATTTCTCCGTCATATGGGCTTTTCGCAGCAGCCACGCCGAATCGAGCGTGGAGCTTGTCGGATTCGATGAATCACCTGGCAGATAGGTGAGGATTTCTTGGAGTTTCGGCTAAATTAATATCACCTTAGTGACCCCCAGAATACATCTGAATTTCTGATTTCATTCATTCTCCTTCTATTTCCAATGTTCAGTTTCGTTTTCCAAAAATTTCAGTAAAAATTCACTATTTATAAAATATCGTTTCTCTTTCAAATTTATGCATTGAGATGATGAAGTGTAACTCAAGGATCATTAAGAAATGTTGTGAAATCATGATGAAGTTATTCATCTCAAAGATTATAGGAAAATGTTGTGAAACTAAAGGATGAAATTAAAAATTTGATTGTAATGTGGGATGAAGACTAGTTTTAATTTCTGTAAAATTTCTAACTATAATCTAAGAGTACTTTGCCATGTTAGGCGGATGGTTTACCTTAGACATAGGTAAGGAGAAGTAGGTACGCTCACTTTCAAAGAAAATCGAATTCATTCTTCTTTTCTTATTCTTTACTCAATTCTGATATTCTACGGGAACTATTCGCGTTATTTTTTTTCACCCGGCTCACCGCCGTAAATCATACAATGGCGCAAAACAAAATGCATTTAATGTTCACTTACTTCTGCGGTGGGGGGTGAATCGTAGACCTCACTTAGACTTTTATCCCTACTTGTGACACAAAAGGCCTTCTGCATAAAATTCAGCTTAAAACAATAATTTTTTCGCAGTATAAGGAAATCAGTTAGTAATTCCGATTCCTCACCAATTTTTTCCCAAACTTAGCTGTCCAAAAACAATTTCTATGCATTTTTTATGGACCTCAAAATTCCTTAGTTTGCAGTAGCTGTTCACAACTATCTCAAAAGTGAGATTTTTCGCTCCTTGTTCAGTCACGCTTCGTTGGTGTATACCACTCTGTCAAAGACTAACTCGATAGCAATATATGAGATGAGATGTCAACAGAGATGATCAATATTAGATAGGAAATAAGGAAAACCGCTTGGGTTCGGAACGTAGAGCGTACTTTGACTCAGTCAGTCTACACTTTACATTCATTCTAAACTATGTACCCGGTCCAGAAATATCTTGTTTCTCATATCTCTGTAGATGCGCTCAAATCAACTCATTTTTCAACAAATTTTGATTCTCTATGGTAATATGTTAGTAGGGTTACGGTAAAAAATCAATTCAAGTTATTCACGGCCAAAAAACCAGTTTTTTTGGAATCCATTTGTTCCAATGTAACTTTACGTATGATGCTCTGATGGGAAATGAATGTT